TTTATCTTCAGGCTGCCATTTTGTTCTCTATATAAGAATTTCGCTCCTTTTAGCTGCAAAAGGCAGTTATTTTTCCATGAAAAAATTATTTTATGTTTTCCGTTAGATAGCAGAGCTACCTGTTGATGAGATTTGTTCCCGTTCCGTGAGGAAAAGTAGCTGACTTCCCAAATTAATACGCAGCAAATAGTTCATTCTGTTTTTTAAATGATATTTTGTCGATCATTCCATGGGAAATTGATAATTAAATTTGAATATCAACTTACATGCATGTTTCAAAAACTTACATGTTTTTAATCAAATTTAAGTAAGTTCGGACGATTTTCATACCATTTATAATTTAAAATTATAATGATCGAATAAAAATTAAAGTTTTCTTAGCATCTTTAAAATGCAGAAAAGAAAAATAAAGCAATATCTGTTATTTTTATAAACTTAAAATTAACAAAAAAAAATAGTTCATTCTTTAAACTAAATTTTTTGAGAGTAAGTTTTAAAGAATGTTCAAACATCATTTTCAATATAACAAATAATTTACTTTGCTTGGAATTAAAATATATATGTTACTAACAAAGTTTGAAATCCGGCATTCTATTGAAATCCGGCATTCTATAGAATTGTAAAAACTAGCCTTAAACATGCCTAAAACTAGCCGGCAATGAATGAAGCGATTTATAATTCACACATTTCTTACGCATTCTAAGAATGCCAATTGAGAAGCCGGCAAAGCATAAAATACATCTCCGATTAAACAGAAAGGTATTAAAACAAGAATAGTTGAGAAACCTACGGTTTTATCTGAATTTAATTCTCGTTTTCATGTAGATCTTATTGACTTTCAGTCTCAACCAGATAGAGAATATAAATTAATGTAAATTAATATATAATATTAAATATAATTTCTTTGATGCACTCTCCTTATTTTTTCAGAACAACATTTTTATTTTTGAGAAATGCACATCATTTACATAATAACCTCATCAGGACGTTTTTTCATACTTTGCCTAGATAGCATTTGTCATTCTATAGAATACCTAGGTATTATACAATGCCTAAGGAAAGCACCTAATATTTCTCATATTTCATACCTTGCCTAAAAACATCCGGCATTTTGTACAATGCCTAGGCATTCTATATAATGCCAGCGTTTCATATTTTGCAGGTAGCATATATATTTTTAAAAAATTACAACAAAAAACCCCATTTAAAACAGCCTGTTTAATTACCATATATATATACTGATTGAATATTTGATTATTGCATTGATATAAAATTTGTATTTCTTTTAACAAAATAACAACGAAATAACAGTAAAAGCGAAAGAAATGTAGGGCATAAAACTGCACCGGTATTAAAAATCAGCACTTAACACTTGCTTTTTGAAGCAATCGAAGAATCTTTTTTTTAAAGCTATTTAAAAGTAAAGAGTTTTTTACTATTTTATAGCCACTTTACCGTGTTTTATGACGGAATTAAAGTTTAGAAATTCTTTTATTACCTAGGAAGTAGTAATTAAATTTATTTGTGTTGAAAAATATTAATTAAATGGGTATTGAAATTATATATATATATATAAATAAAGTTTCATGTTTTTCAACTTTTTGTGCTTGTAGATTATAATAATTTTCACTTAAATACAAACGTTTATATATCAAATTGAAGGTAATTTAATGTAGAATTTTATAATAAATACAGTATTACAATATCTGTATTACAAAAAAGGTTATGCAACAAATAGTCAGATCTATCTTAGATTTGCATTTTTTTAAAGTGATACTTACACAATCTATACTTAGTAGGATAACCTTTATTTTTTAAGACAGCTTCACAGCGTCTTTTCATCGAGTGAACGAGTATTTGGATTTCATCTTTCGTAATCACATGGTGCGAAGAATCAATTATAGCTTCAATAAGTTGTCTTTTATTGGATAGACGTTTTTTT